CCATCCATCCATCCATCCATCCATCCATCCATCCATCCATCCATCCATCCATCCATCCATCATAAATAAATCTTAATCTTTTTCTCTGCAGATCCTCCTACAGTGACCTTGTCCATCGAACCTCGCTCTGTCCTGGAAGGGGAAAGAGTCACCTTCACCTGCCAGGCCACAGCCAATCCACCCATCATGGGCTACAGGTTTGATAGATGACAATTCTCATGTTTATATGCACTGCTAAACAACAACTTATGTGATTATCCAGAGGAAATACTAAAGTCTGATTATGTAACTGACCTAGTATTCAAAGCTCTTAAAAATGTATTTGGTTGACTGTCATCAAGCAGTGAATGTAACTTTACGTTTTTAAGTTTGGAACAGTTAAGCCAACTCAGTAACTATAAAACAAGGGAAGCAATTAAACATTCAAAAGGTATGGAGCCCTTCGTCTGTTTCTATTTGCATGTTTTCAAAACAAAAACAAGGCTTTGTTGGGCTACTGTATAAAACCTCGACCTCAATGCTATTTCTGATATTTTGAATTGTAAAAGCTTCTTGCATGGGAAGCGAAACTTCTTTAAACTTGGAAACAAAGTCTAGTGGGTTGTTTTTAATTTTCTTTTTCTTGGAAAAGTCAGTTATCTTTGTATCTGTTTCATGTTATCCTCATTTTTTAAATGTAGGCAGAATGGTCTGCTGTTTGATATCTTTTAATCTACTTTGTTTTATCAGACAGGTTCTATTTATACATGGGACCACATTGGTGTGGATAGTATATTCCTTCAATAAATTAATCCTCATTAATCCTCATTTGTAAACAGCATTGTTCAATTAATAAAAGTTGTCTGCTGAGTAAATTACAAACCGGAAAAATGTGTAAGGAGAAAATATGCCACTTAAAATGTAAGACTCTCTTCCAAACATTGTGGCCCTAAGGTCTAAGTTTAACTCATAATGTATCTGTGTTTGGCTGTAATTGTAGCTCAAGATGTGAGGAAGGGTTTGATCTTGGTGGGCCTGCAGTGCAACATTAGCAGCCCGATCAGATGATCAATGCCAATGGGCTTTCTTTCATCTGCTCGTCTGTGGAGCCGCTCCTGAATCTTAATACTGCTTAGAGAACAAAATTTGCGAAAGTATTGAACATTTTGTGTAGTCAAACAGAGACTTTTATCGTAAGCGACATCTGTGAAGCACTGAAGGTGCAAAAAAAAGGCTGAGGTCTGAAAGTTTATCAGAGAGGGTCCTGATATGGGAAGACTGCCAGGTACTTAGGCGCAGAGCCTACTGAATGTGCATTAAAATGTCATTCTGTGGAGAATGTGCAATATGGTGATATGATTTTCAGCTAGATATTTGGCAAGCAACCATACGGATAACAAGAATTATTCTAATTTATTACAGAATTTCCCCTGAGCGCCGGAATCAAGTCATCATTTTTTCTATCTTCACGGAGAACATAAAAAAATCCCACATTTGTACCTCTACACAGGCAAGATTGGCTTTTGAAATGTGAAAGGGTGTTGTGGTTGTCCTCTTTCAGGTGGGCTAAAGGTGGAGTGCTGCTGGAAGGGGCCAGGGAGAGCGTATTTGTCACAACGGCTGATCATTCATTCTTCACCGAGCCCGTGTCGTGTCAGGTGTTTAACGCAGTGGGGAGCACCAACGTCAGCATTCTCGTGGATGTGCACTGTGAGTCAATTGTGAACAGTTGTTTGCTGAGGAGAACAATAAAGATGTGTTTCACCTATACGACATCAAGTCACATTGGAGTCCAACATCAATAAATAACGAGTTGCGGACTAACCACATGACTTTTGAAGTCATCAGCTTGGTTATTCTTATTGCATATGATTTGTATCTTTTATAAAGAAATTACATAAACCAAAAATGGAAGTGTTAACTCCTATAGAGTTAAATTCAACATTTTTAAAGCATTCATATTGTTTCACACTAGATTGAGCTAGAACAACATCTTTTAAAGTGTTAAAAAGGGACAACATTCCTAAAAGATGAGTTTCAACAGTTATCAGTATTTTATTTATCTAACACTAGTAAACATTCACCCATTCGTATACACATTCACACACTGATGGTAGAGAGCTACATTTTAGCTGCACTGGGGCTCACTGAAAGAAGTAAGGCTGCCGTACACTAGTGCCATCAGACCCTCTGACCACAATCAGTAGACAATGCAGGTGCATCACCAAAGTACAATACAAAATGGTTAAGATGGACAGAGCTGGGATTTAAACTTCTGCATCCAAAAATCTGCAAGACAAATGTCTCCATCCTAAGCCACTACTCCCTATAATTCAATTCTACTCAGTTTACTTCTATAGCGCCAGTTCACAACACATGTCATCTCAAGGCACTTTCCAGTTCACCAGATCAAGCAGTCAGATTGATTCGAAGTTTTCTATCTAAGGAAAACCAGTTGATTGCATCGACTCATTGACTCAAAGGCAATCCCTCACACTAAGCATGCTTGTAGCGACAGTGGAGAGGAAAAACTCGCTTTTAACAGGAAGAAACCTCCAGCAGAACCAGGCTCAGTTTGAGCGACAATCTGCAGAGGCCGACTGGGGTTCAAGGAGACAGAAGCAGAGATACAAAACTATAGAACTGGCATTTAACTGGCATTTAAACAATTTCTAAACGTTGTTGAAATAACATCACTTTAAGAAAAACAATAATTCAAAGTCAAAACAGAATTGAAATAGTTGAATATTTGAAAACAGCTGAAATAGGGTTGAGATTATTTCAAACTTGATTTTGATGTTTGCCAAATTTGTGGCATTGAAACAAAATTCATTGGTTGTCCAATAAATCTATCTGGCATTGATTCGCCGGTGACTAGACTTTACAATGCTAGCTGATTAATTCACACAACCACAGCTCTGAAGTCTGCTATTGTTGATGTTAGCAGATGTCTCTACACTAACCCTACAGAAAACAGGAGATTACACCTCTGGGCCAACCCTGGCTCTCTACTCAATCACTATCCTGTGTAAACTAACAATGCCATTCATTAAGACTTGTCTTCTGCTGCTCTCCGACTCTGGGAGTCATCCTGCTTTATGCAAACACGAAACAGATTTGTCAGAATTCTGTTAGGCATCCTGTTAACACTTAGGGTGTGTTTTAAGGTCCTTAAACACATGCAAACATGTTTGTATACCCAGAGCATATCTTTAAAGACGGCACAAATTCATTTGTGTTGCAATTCAACAGACGGGGCCTGCAAACATTTTTTTTCTGTGTGAGCTTTCATCAATATACAGATCATATTATAATGACCAAATTGTGCAAATTCATGAATAAAGGCAACCAAAAAATAAAGGATTCTCCTTGTCCAAAGCGTTTTCCAAATCTGAAAATAAACTGTGTTTAGCAGATGTAAGGGTTTCTTTCTTTTTATCAGTTGTGAAAGTAAGATGCCAACTAACACGCAAAGATTTCTCCAGTCACTGTGGGCTTAAATGAGTCACTGGTAAAATGCCTGACATTGGAGAGTGGGCAAGAAATAATGCAGTTATTAAACACTTTATGCAGTTTAACAAAATGAAAAAAATACTAAATTTAAATATCAGGGCATGCTTAAATATGTTCCTATGTTTGAAAGTCTTACTTTGACCCCTTAAAAAATACTTGTTTTTTACTGTACACAAAAGTAAGTATTTTTCTGTTCTAATCCTTTTAATAATTGAGGAATATGGCTTGTCTATTCATCTATCTTCAGGGTTTTTTTTTTTTTTTTTTGTTGGTTTAGTCTCCTTCACGTCTTTCCGTTTTTGTTGTATGACTTTTCAATCCCAAAAAGAACAGTTTTAATGCAGCCCTATAAGCATCATGCTACGCTAACATTAGTATCTGTTTTGGGCCTATATAACCTGTAGAACTGTGTATTCTACTGATATACAGTTAGTATCCGGTAGCGAGGCAGAGGGACTCAGTATTCAGGCGAGATAGAAAGTGGGAAGTTTGAAAAAGTTAAATTACAAAACCAGAATGGAACATGAGCGGGCTTCTGTGGATTGCTGCTGATTTGTGGCGGCTGCAGGGGAAAGGCTCAACCCATCACTGACACTCTGATTGAGAGAGAAACACACGTAAGTGACCACTATAATCTGATGGAAGATGATTATCCGTATGAGTCACTTACCTGGTCTAACAGTTCAGTCCATCCTCTCGGGTGTGGCAGGATCCAGCCGATGGACTGCCAACCTAGATGCAGCGCAGAGCCACGTAGAGTGTCCCTAGTGAGTAGCCTCAGTGAACAGGCAGAAGTGCGAGCCAGGTCAGGCAAAAAGTTCAGAACAGGATGGTTCTGAGATCCAGGAGTCCGTAGCCCAGACAGGGGATCCAATAAGGGCAGGAACAGTCACATCCAGGGTTCCAGGAATTCACCAAGTACTCAGGCAGGTTCAGAGCTCCTTGAGTCTAACAGAGAGTTAAGGCAGACATGCTCGAATACAGACTGGCAGACTCAGCAGTTTAGAGGTAGGAGCATGACACGGCACCAGGAAAACTACGGAACTTTAAACTGCTTCCCTCTAATGAGCCAAAAAAGGATCAGGGCACACTCAGAGGAGGACTGATACTCTGATATTCATTAATCTTGTTACCCTTTAAGGAATTAACATTTTTGTTTGTGTTTTTTATTGAAGTTGGTCCAATTCTTGTTGTGGAGCCCAGACCAGTGACAGTGGACGCAGACTCAGATGTCACTTTGAACTGCAAGTGGGCTGGAAACCCCCCACTTACTCTCACTTGGACTAAAAAGGGTTCCAGCATGGTAAGAGCACAGATTGAGAAAAAAGAAACCTATTGATTTTTTTTTTTTTTGCCCTATTTATGCAATAGAGGAAATTATTTTATTTTAACATTTTTTTTATGAAATTAATAAAGCCCCAATTTTTTCCGCCAGTGCCAAATCCCTTAAAATAAGGTTGACTTTTTCTGTCATACCCATTTTTACTTGATTGGCATATTAGGACCTTTCAATAGTCATCCATAAATGAATGTTTTCTCTCTTATTTTCTTTAGCAACAATTTCAAATGAGAAAGAGAAAAGAGTATATACGTATTTATATGGCTTCCACATGCAGGGAACATGATGCTAAGGGAGGCGTTGAAAAGATCTCCAAAGCTTGCTGTTGAAGAACAGCAGTATAGAGAGGCATCTTAGGGCCAACAAGTCTCCATAGCACTAACCTATTTCACTGGTTTTGAGGAAATTCCTTCCAGGGCTGCGAATAATTGTTGAACTTGTGAAGAGTGTTTTGCTTCAATGTGTATTAAAAAGGCAGATTTCTGATGTGTTTGCTCACCTAAAGGACTCTCTGTTGGTTCTGAGACTTCTAAATCTTTAATTCATGCCCCAACCATTTAAGAAAAGGCTCGGGGAAAAATCTAATGGAGCCTGCTGAGTAAATCAACATGTTTTATGAATTAAACATAGATCCCCTCCTTCCATATCCTTTCCCTTTATCATTTGCTCTCTGAATATCTTTACATCACAACCAGCTATCCTTTTCTTTATGTATATTTGCCTGTATTTCCAGGTTCTGAGCAACAACAACCAGCTGCATTTGAAGGCAGTGAGCCAGGCTGATGCAGGACAGTATGTCTGCAAGGCCATCGTGCCACGCATTGGAGTTGGAGAGACCGAGGTTACGCTCACCGTCAACGGTCAGTTCATCTCTAATTATCCTCCTTTAATAACAATGCTGATGTTAGCAGAATCATGACGTGTGTAAAACAGATCTTCCCACACGGAGGGAAATTGTGAATGTATGGCAAGCTGTAAGTTACTTANGAAACACACGTAAGTGACCACTATAATCTGATGGAAGATGATTATCCGTATGAGTCACTTACCTGGTCTAACAGTTCAGTCCATCCTCTCGGGTGTGGCAGGATCCAGCCGATGGACTGCCAACCTAGATGCAGCGCAGAGCCACGTAGAGTGTCCCTAGTGAGTAGCCTCAGTGAACAGGCAGAAGTGCGAGCCAGGTCAGGCAAAAAGTTCAGAACAGGATGGTTCTGAGATCCAGGAGTCCGTAGCCCGGACAGGGGATCCAATAAGGGCAGGAACAGTCACATCCAGGGTTCCAGGAATTCACCAAGTACTCAGGCAGGTTCAGAGCTCCTTGAGTCTAACAGAGAGTTAAGGCAGACATGCTCGAATACAGACTGGCAGACTCAGCAGTTTAGAGGTAGGAGCATGACACGGCACCAGGAAAACTACGGAACTTTAAACTGCTTCCCTCTAATGAGCCAAAAAAGGATCAGGGCACACTCAGAGGAGGACTGATACTCTGATATTCATTAATCTTGTTACCCTTTAAGGAATTAACATTTTTGTTTGTGTTTTTTATTGAAGTTGGTCCAATTCTTGTTGTGGAGCCCAGACCAGTGACAGTGGACGCAGACTCAGATGTCACTTTGAACTGCAAGTGGGCTGGAAACCCCCCACTTACTCTCACTTGGACTAAAAAGGGTTCCAGCATGGTAAGAGCACAGATTGAGAAAAAAGAAACCTATTGATTTTTTTTTTTTTTGCCCTATTTATGCAATAGAGGAAATTATTTTATTTTAACATTTTTTTTATGAAATTAATAAAGCCCCAATTTTTTCCGCCAGTGCCAAATCCCTTAAAATAAGGTTGACTTTTTCTGTCATACCCATTTTTACTTGATTGGCATATTAGGACCTTTCAATAGTCATCCATAAATGAATGTTTTCTCTCTTATTTTCTTTAGCAACAATTTCAAATGAGAAAGAGAAAAGAGTATATACGTATTTATATGGCTTCCACATGCAGGGAACATGATGCTAAGGGAGGCGTTGAAAAGATCTCCAAAGCTTGCTGTTGAAGAACAGCAGTATAGAGAGGCATCTTAGGGCCAACAAGTCTCCATAGCACTAACCTATTTCACTGGTTTTGAGGAAATTCCTTCCAGGGCTGCGAATAATTGTTGAACTTGTGAAGAGTGTTTTGCTTCAATGTGTATTAAAAAGGCAGATTTCTGATGTGTTTGCTCACCTAAAGGACTCTCTGTTGGTTCTGAGACTTCTAAATCTTTAATTCATGCCCCAACCATTTAAGAAAAGGCTCGGGGAAAAATCTAATGGAGCCTGCTGAGTAAATCAACATGTTTTATGAATTAAACATAGATCCCCTCCTTCCATATCCTTTCCCTTTATCATTTGCTCTCTGAATATCTTTACATCACAACCAGCTATCCTTTTCTTTATGTATATTTGCCTGTATTTCCAGGTTCTGAGCAACAACAACCAGCTGCATTTGAAGGCAGTGAGCCAGGCTGATGCAGGACAGTATGTCTGCAAGGCCATCGTGCCACGCATTGGAGTTGGAGAGACCGAGGTTACGCTCACCGTCAACGGTCAGTTCATCTCTAATTATCCTCCTTTAATAACAATGCTGATGTTAGCAGAATCATGACGTGTGTAAAACAGATCTTCCCACACGGAGGGAATTATGAATGTATGGCAAGCTGTAAGTTACTTAAACCTTAATGTTTGTTAGTTGTAGACATGTAATTCTTAAGGTTTTAGTTTTGTAGGATTGTTTTGGTTATTTCTATTCTTGAATTAGCTTTTTAAGTTTTAAAATCTTATCCAAAAAAATATATATTTTAAAAAATACCTCCCTACATATCAGTGACGATTTGTAAAACAGTAGAATTCCTAGCCATCCATCTTCTCCTGCTTCATCTTTTAGGCTTGTGTTGGGGCTGGTGCCTATCTCCAGCATTTTATGGGGAAATGCGGTTTACACTGTGGACAGGTGGCCATCGCAGGGTAACACAGATCTAAGGAAAATATAGAAGAGCCACTTAACCTAAAAGTCATGTTTTTGACTTTGGGTGGAAGCCGGAGTACCCAGAGAAAACCCATGCTTGCACAGGGAGAACATGCAGAAAGACTCTGGACTAGGAACTGACCCAGGCCCTTCTTGCTGCAAAGCAACAGTGCTAGAAATTGTGTCAATGTGCAGCCTTGCAGAATTTGTTTAAAGATAAATGTAGGCATCTAAGAGGTCCACCTGTAACATAAATAATACATTAGCGCGTATGAAGATACATGATACAAGATCCAGAAACATACAGCCTTCAATATTTAAAAGTATATCACGGTGGATTTAAACACCTGAAGAAATGCAAGGTCAAAACTTGAGTTTGACTTATTGATTTTAACGATGCAGGAATGGTAGAAAACATCAACTTTTTTCAAATCACAGCCGTCTAAAATCTGAAAGAATTCTTTCTACCATGTTAAATATAAGATATACACTGACTATAACAACTTATAGTAAAGTTTAATCTTTCAACGTTTTGACTCTTTACTACCATACAGTTACCACTCAGGACTCCATTGTGATTTAATGTGAAAGGCCACAGAGACATTACAATATAACTGATGTAAAAGAAGAATGACTCAAGCTATTTGAAAGAGTTAATAAATACTATTTTGAAAGGTTTGTAAAACAAAAGTTGATCACTGACATTCAGGAATTCTTGCCATCTGACATGATTGAGATCTAAAGTATTTCAAAAAAGAAGAGTGAACAAACAGATTGGCTCCTAGATATGCACCGCTTCAAATATGCATTATTTCTTTAAGAAGGTGATTTTAAGACACCAGATTTTCACTTTTGATTCAGCACTTAGAATCTACCTCTAGGTTTAATTGAAGGACCTTTTGGCAAAGTTTTTACATGATTCCTCTGTCCGATTCAGCTGCTCACATATGAAACAGCTCCTGACAACTGCAGGGATTAACTGGGCTGTAGGCAGTACTGATTTGGTCGAGATTATGATAACCTTCCCTAATCTGTTCCTTCAAAAAACCTGATCCAAACTGACAAATATAGTAAATATTTCCCCAGATCTAATAATTCCAAAACCAATGTTGTAATGTTGCGGAAGGTTTAGCAATTTTTTTTTCCTGATTAAGCTTCTTTACATCTATTAAATAATAATTCTCCAACTGGAATTTACCCAGAACACCATGATATCCGCATCCTTGATCGCATTTACTCAGCTGCATCGTCTAAAAGGACTTATTCATACTTCAGCAGAGGGAAGTCACTGCATATAATATCAGCTGTCCTGGAAAAACTAACAGTGTGCGACAGCTATTGCTGGGTCAAGACTTCAGTTGACACTTGGTTTAACACTGCCCTGCCACAGATACTCACGCCATGAACTTCAGATTTATATCTCAACATCGCATTTCCTGCTGGTTTCACAGCTGCTTTACTGCTCTTATGTATCAAGCTTGATCGGAACATATCATGCTTTAATTATGCCCCCCCGCAGCAGCAGAGTCGCATCCTTGTAAGTTTTATTTAGCCTCGTCTCACCACAGAACAGGAGCCTCTGTCACACAGTTGCCGTGTTAACACTGTTTTATTCAGAGAGGCAGAGAGTGACAGTGCTGCTGATAGCAGATTCTACGTGACTTTGCTCAGAGTGTTGACAAACAGCAGCAATTTACACATTCCTGATTTAAAGGATTCCATATGTTGTTTTTGAATATTTTACTGAACAATTAGTTCAGTTAAAACCTTTCAGAATTAGTTCCAAGTTTGGAGAAACAACAACAATTGTATACATGGTTATGGTCTGATGAATACTGCTGTAAATGTTCATTAATTATCCCTCCTCAGGGAGCTCTCCGATATGATGCTGCCATGTTAACACCAACTGCCACATTTAAGAGATGTGAAATAACATAGGAATCTGTGATCTATTTGAAAATAAGTCAGTTTGCTTGATAAGTGACAGCCATCTGTTAAAAAAAACATTGTACACCCTCCTTAACTGGAAAGGATCGCAGAAAATGTTTCAACTTGATGGGTTGAATAATCCCAGATGGACTGATGAGATGCATTTCCTGGAAAACAACAATTCTGTTCAATTGGATTGTAGCCCTTGTTGATATACAGTTCTTTGTTACTCCGACTGAGTAATCACTGGGAAAGGCCTCTGCCAAAAAGTGTCAGCTTATAAGATTTACTGAAGAGAGCTGTAGATGGAATCATTTTGATGGAATCATCTGGAGTCCTATTGCTGAAGGCTACTGAGATTGAGATTCAAAGTGAGGATTCTGTCTCAGGAGATCCATTTCCTGAGCAAAATAAGGAAACCCCAGATGCTGCCTGTTGCCTTTGCTAAGTAATGTGGGGTGAATGACACAGAGATGGGGAAAAGGTAGGTAAGGATGAGGGAGGGCAGGGTGAGGTATGAGGGATTAGGGTTTAAATGTGCAGAAGGTGGAATGAATTTAAGAATAAAAGGGTTCACAGTCGAGAGTTAAAGATGACTTAATAAGCCTTTCATAATTGTGTCGCTGGCAACCCATTTTAAAGCGTTTATAACTAATAACTCAGAATGCATGTAAATTACACCATTAAATGTCTACCAATATAGACATATGAGACATTGTTAGAAAGCTTAGATTTTCCATAATTCTACCACCAAGTTCATTTTATGGACACAGCGAGCACCAAAGCATAGTTAAAACAGATATAGCAGCATGTCAAAATGTAAACATGACAAAGGAAGCATGTCTTTATTACTGCTGTTCAAAAAATACCTATTATTTTCGAGAATAAAAAAAACAACTTTGAGTCATGTTTGAACTGATATGTATATACTGATATCATATTGATATGATATGTTTGAATGTATATATTCAGAAAACTAGAAGGTGTTTGTCAGGGTTTGGTTGAGGTTTTGAAGACCCAAATGCAGAGGCGAGGAGGCAGAGGTGTGTTCTTGAGGATTTGATTGAATAACTGAGGCAAAAATCCAAAAACCAAATAACAAAACACATACAGTAGAACCCAAAAAACCAGACAACTTCATCGGGAAAAACTCAGGTGGGGAGCCAGGAAAAGAGGAGGAACCAGCACTGAGGAACTGCAGAGGAAGAGTATATGGCCCTGTTCGAATTCATGGGCTCAGAAGGCCAGATTCGTAGGCCGATTACGTCATGGTGCGGTCTGGTCGGATTCCAAGACTCCTCGTTATGCGGCCTTAAAATGCGTCCTTCTTTTAGCCTGATTTGAAGGACAGGTCCGATGTATCCTCGGTATCCTTGGTTTTCCCAGGATTCATTGCGAGACCAAGCAAGCCAGCTGCTCCGTGATTAGAGGAAAGGTTACTTGGTGCAGAACAGTGGTGAATATTGAAAGTTCAGTTTAACATGATACAAGTCTGTGGATAGTTCCGTCTGAAATGAATGAGTTGAATGATAGTTGTTGAATGATAGTTGTTTTAATGGTTACTGAGTCAGATATGTGGCGGTAATGTTTGGTTTATCTAAAGGTTTTAATCTGTTACTGTGTAAATGGGTTTGGCTGGAATTTAAGGAGAGATTCTAATAGATCTGCAGGGTGGGGACTATAAATCTGATAGGAGTTTGAATTTTTATTGCTATTTTGCTAAATCTGTTTCACTATTTTTTGTTGTTGAATATCAGA